TTTACTATTATTATTATTATTATTATTACTATTTTATGATGGACGTCGGGGAAGGCCAGCAAGATCGCCTCATTAATATATCGGCGAAATAACCGATGCGCGGTGGGAGGGGGTAGGGGAGTAGGGGGGGAGAGGGGAAGGGAAGGGAGGTATAATGTTCATAATATTCTATTATCGGTCTCATTAATGCTGTTTATCGGTCTCATTAATGCGCTCGCTCGGCCAAATGCTCGAAATGAATTGCTAGTGTACAACTGCACTGCACGAATTATGTATGCTAATTTGTTTTCTTTCTTTTTTTTTCATTTCTATTTTCCTTTCTATTTTTTTATTTTTTATTTCTGTTTTATTTTCCTTTTCTCTTTCTTTTAATTTGTTTTTTCTTTATTTTTCATTTTTCTTTATTTTTCATTTTTCTTTTTTTTTCTTTTCTTTTTTTACCAATGTTGCGTTCAGAATGCCATTTGCATTTTTAGTTGCGACGGCGTGCAATATTTCAACCGGAGAAGAGAGAATGCTTCTGTGAAATGCTCATTGCAACACCGAATGTTCCTCTATTGAAAAGTTTCTTAATTTAGCCGCAACTTTATTTTTTGGGGGCAGAGGGTTTTGTGTATGTGTGTGTGTGTGTGTGTGTGTGTGTGTGTGTGTGTGTGTGTGTGTGTGTGTGTGTGTGTGTGTGTGAATGTCTTCTGTGTGCCTGTGTACCTGTGAGAGAAAGAGAGAAAGAAAGAAAAAAAGAAAGAAAGAGAGAAAGAGAAAGAGAAAGAGAAAGAGAAAAAAAAGAGACCGACATAGACGCAAAGACATACAACACGGAAAAAAAAAAGATAACAGTAATGAAAGTCAGAATGTGGACCAACATGACGGGGGAATCCTTGATCTTTTTCGCTTTTTCCTCGCCAACCCTAACTTGCCTCCCCCCCTCCCCCCTCCTCCCTCCCCCACCCCATGTTCGCTTCTCTTCCTGGCCCATGCCTTGTTTGGCTCTCCCTTGTCATTGGTTATTCTCTCTTTCTCTTTTTTTCTCTCTCTCTCTCATTCTCTCTCTCTTTCTCATTCTCTCTCTCTCTCTCATTCTCTCTCTCTCTCTCTCTCTCTCTCCCTCCCTCCCTCCCTCCCTCCCTCCCTCCCTCCCTCCCTCCCTTCCTCCCTCCCTCCCTCTCTCCCTCTCCCTCCCTCCCCTCCCCTCTCCTCTCCTCTCTTTCCCTTCCCTCCCATCTCCTCTCCCCTCCCCTCCCCTCCCCTCCCCTCCCCTCCCCTCCCTTCCCCTCCCCTCCCCTCCCTTGGTACAAAAAGTAAGAGGAAAATTAAAAAGATTAAATAGAAATATAGAATTAGCAACCACCACAACCACCACCACAAACCACCACCACCACCAACAACAACAATAATAACAACAATAAAAACAACAACACCACCACCATCACCATCATCAACAGCAACAACACCATCATCAACAGCAACAACAATATCATCATCATCTTTCGCTCCTCCCCTTCCACGTTCGTTCACATCTCGTAACGGGCGTGTCTTGATCGGCCCCGCAGATTAGAACGATATGTGTGTTTATGCATATTTTATGTGAGAGGGTGTATGGGAAGCGGGGAAAAAAAGGTGTTTGTTTTCTGTTAGGCTAAGAATTGGGGTGTTTCTTTAATTATCATTATTCTAGTTACTTGCTTATGTATTTATTCATTTCTTTCATTCTGTTTCTTTCGCTTTTCTTTTCTTTTTTTTATTTCTTCCTCTTTTTCTTTTTTTGTCTTTCATTTTCTTTCTTTCTTTTTCCCTTTTTTCCTTTTCTTTTTCTCTCTCTTCTCTCTCTCACTCTCTCTTTCTCTTTCTCTTTCTCTTTCTCTTTCTTTTTTTTCTTTCTTTCTCTTTCTCTTTTTCTCTCTCCCTCTCTCCTTCCCTCTCTGCTCCTCTCCCTCTTTCTCTCTCTTCCTCTCAATCCCTCCCTCCAACTCTCCTTCCTTCCCTATCCCCCCCCCCCTTCGTGATGAGTGACACGTCATCCAGACACGCCACGTCACACCTCATCATCACCTGGACGAGTGTGTCAATTTCTGTGTCACTCGGATTGAACCAAACCGCTTTTTTTGTATAGGAAAAATCACCGTCGTCGTCATCGCCATTTTCATTTTCATCTTCATCGTCATTTTCATCTTCATCGTCACTTTCATCTTCATCGTCACTTTCATCTTCATTTTCATCTTCATTTTCTTCTTCATCTTCATCTTCATTTTCTTCATCTACCACCACCATTACCATGACCATCTTCACCATCATCACCATCACCATCATTTGCATATATCCTCAAGAAAATTGAAATTCTTTCGGTTGACGGGACATCCCCCCCCCCCCCCACAAACACACATACACAGACTCACAGTTCAAGAAGGAAAGGGGATTTTGTTATTTACAGCCTCTCTCTCTCTCTCTCTCTCTCTCTCTCTCTCTCTCTCTCTCTCTCTCTCTCTTTCTCTTTCTCTTTCTCTTTCTCTTTCTCTTTCTCTTTCTCTCTCTCTCTCTCTCTCTCTCTCTCTCTCTCTCTCTCTCTCTCTCTTCCTCTCCCTTTCCCCCCTCTCCCTCCCTCCTCTCTCTCTCTCTCCCTCTCCCTCTCCCTCTCCCTTTCCCTCCCTCCCTCCCTCCCTCCCTCCCTCCCTCCCTCTCCTTCCTCTCCTTCCTTGTCTTCTCCCTTCTTTATTTGCACAGCATCCGGTACCGTAGCGAGGAATAGGTTCTTTGCTAGGCCTCGCTGTCAACATGCGGGGATGGAGGGAGAGGGAAAATGAGGAAAAGATAAAGGAGGAGGAGAAGTAGAAAGAGAAAGAGGAGAAGATGGACGAAAAGGAGAATGAAAGGAAGAAGAAAGGAGGGAACGGACCTCAGTATTGTCCAGTGACTGATTGTTGTGGGGGAGAGGGGGAGGGGGAGGGAAAGGAGGGAGGGAGGAGGAAGAAGGAACAAGGGCTAGGAAAAGTTAGGGGAGAGGGGAGGAGGAGGAGCGGGAAGGAGGAAGTTGAGGGGAAGGGGAAGGAGGAGGAGGGAGGAGGAAGGAGAGGGTAAAGGAGGAGAGGAAAGAAGGATGGAAGAGGGGGAAGCGGAGGAATGGAGGGGGGAAGGAGAAGGGGGAAAGAAGGGAAATGAAAG